AGGGAAAGAGGGAGTCTGTGGCCCCAAAAATAAATTTAATGTGCAAAAAATGTTGTTCAAATTAATTTTTTATTTTCTTAATCAAATTTGACATAATTCACTCCCCATTAATCTATATTTTTTAATCGATGACCAAAATAGAATTTTAATATAAAATATTTTAAAATATGAAAAAGAAAATTTTATTTTTAACATCATTTTTTCTCTTATCTTCTACTTATTAAGAAAATAAGTTTGCAGAAGATAATTTTCTAAGTTGTCGAGGAAACATTTATGTAAAGTGGGTCTTCTCGACCTATTGGTGTAATGAAAAGTATTAAATCTAATAGTTGTATCTTAAGGAATGTGTATATTAAGAAGATTAATATTAGGTAACTTAATTATGGGAGATCTTATTACATATTGTTTTTTTTTTATATTGGGAAGATTGAATTGCAGGATCTTTTCTATATTTGAAATATTCATAATTTGTATGTTTTAATTATATCTTACTTATAGAGAGATTAAAGCTGTGTTTTATATGTGAAGTTGTAATCCTATTTCAGACATTTTTTCTCTCTCCCCACCTCTTGATAGTGGAACAACTTCTCCCCAGAACCACATTGACATAGACGAAGTTGAGTTGAACCGCGAAAATTGAACTGTGATTGCTTGTTTGCTTGTTGTGTGATTTCATTTTCCGTATTGTTTTGCATAACGATTTGATGAGGTCTTTTTATCGTGCACATAAAGTCTACTCTTTTTTATTTGATTGTAATCATCAATAACATCAATCGAAGTAATGATGACAAGAACTATCTCTCCACAAGCTCTAGCAAATGAACGAGAACCTCGATCAATTCAAGAATAAATTCAATGATAATAAACACAGAGTTTATTATTGTCAAAACATTAACCCTTTTATTGTTCAAAAAATAACTTATTAAATGTTCGATAATAAACACATTGATAATTCATATCATTTATGATTTAAATAAAATTGAATCAACTAAAATTTATTCAAATTTATATCTATAATTAATATATTATAATTTACTATCAATAATATTAAAGACTAATTAATTATTTTATATATTTTATTAACATCTATTTATATATTAACCCATTTATTGGTTGTCATATCGTTACGCATGAAAATACAAATGCTTAGGCGTTAGAAATATAAATACATAGGAATTAGGTGGTTTGCATGTAAATGCCCCAAACTTATAATATGATCAAGTCCAGTTCAATCCACAACCCAATCAACTCATGCAACCTCTCCCCATACAACTCTACAGCTTCTAACTCTTTCGACGCTGTTACTTTTCCACTAGAAAGATGGGCTCTGATCTCTGATAAAAAAAATGGCTTCAAGCTAATTGAAGGCCTTGGACCACATAAACTTGTCAGGAACATGTCACTCAATCAAAAGCTTCGAACAACCAGCCATAGTTGCTGTAACAACACTGGAAACTATTACAGTATGAGCCATTACTCCGTAAAGAGCTCTCATCAGCACTTCGCTTTTGTACGAATTCTTAACGTTGTCAGAGTAAATGGTCCCTGTAGGATTCTTCAATATATCATGGCAGTTTTCTAACTTGAGACTCTTCGGGCTAAATCACCTCTTCCAATCAATGCGAGACGCCTTCGCTAGTTTCATATGCTGGGATGAATGCTCGAGTGCTCCAATAATTGTGTAGCATAATGCATGAAAAGTTGACCCAAATTCAATCTAGAAAGCTCGTAGCTAAAAGCAATGCAAATGTAGAGCAATTTTATACTTTCATCCTAAGTACACATCCATTTAGGGCTGTCAAAAAAGTTCGTTGTTCGCGATCAGCTCGTGTTCGGCTCGTTCGTTAAGTAAACGAGCCGAACATGAACAAGTTTTTAAAGCTCAAATTATAAATGAGCCGAACACGAACAACTCTTTGTTCGCTCGTATTCAGCTCATTTTAGCTCGGAATAAAAAAAGTATATAATTATTTATATAATAATATATTACATATATTTTTATATAATAATATATTATATATATTTATATCTATGTTTAAATCATAACATCTCGTTTTGTAATGTGGTTAGTGTATTCTTTTACATATATTTGGTCCAGGTTCGAATTCACTATTTTACATCTATTTTATTCAATTTAATTTTAACGAGTCAATTTTGAGCCGAACACGAGTCCAATACGAACACGAATATTTAAATCGAGCCGAACACGAACACGTTGTTCACGAGCAATTTCGAACGAGCCGAACACAAGCCCAGCCTGAGCTTGCTCAATCTCTGCGCGTTTGCAGCCCTGCATCCATCCGCTTCTCATCCCAATCCGAGATGGGAAACTCTAGATCAGTGATTAAGAATATGATGTTAGTATGAATCTCAGATAAAGACACAATAGCCTGCTGCATCAAAGAAAGGCTACGAGTTTCAGATAATGAGATTTGTTAACTTGTGGCGAGCATTCGTTCAAAATCACTAAGCAAGACAAGAAGTTTTGGAGACAAGTGAGGCCCCCCTGGAAAAGATCATTATCTGGCGAACTCAAGGGATGAAAGGTGTGATGGTCATCAACTGGCGAACTCATTTTTACACTGTTGTAAGAGAAAGTCCCTTTAGTTCCAAAAAAGTTTGAATTAAATGCTGAGTGCTAAATGCTTTTATATTTCCTTATGGTTATACATCGAAATGATTGGACAATGTTCACTCCAGACCCACAGGTATTGAAGTAAAAATGTTTCAGTTATGGTATTTTATGCTCCAATCTTAATCCATAGCCATTAATCTGAAAAGTGCAGCCAAGTAAATAGCAAAAATTTCCAAGTGCAAAGAAATCACCCAATGAAAAAAAGGAGAAGGTTTTGACTAGTAAAATGTTCATTGGTACGATACCTTGACACTGAATAGCGGAGCTTAGCAATTTGGCCGCAAGAAGTCCACTCACAATAAAATTTTGAAGAACTTAGGTCAAAGAACAATTAAGTTCCTATGCTTTGACTTGGCACTTTATTAGATCCTTATGTTATCAAAAACTAAAATGTAAGTTCTATATTAGATCCTTATGCTTCAGAAAACAAAATTTTCAGCCGTATTTTCAGCTTCCATCCTTTAATAGACAGCTTCCAACATGACTGGCCGAAAGATGACAAAAAACATCTCTTCAGAGATTTGGGTTTTCTGAATACTCAAATTAGAATATTTATTTTTCTTTCAAAAGAAATGCTTAGAATAGACTACCGACAGAGTCCAAGCAGCTTGTCGCCTAAAGAATTGACCGTCCAAAAACAGCTGTAATACAAGAACATTCTGGGGGTTCTCCAGTTTGTGGGCAGCCTTGAAATTCACATGAAATTAGATAGAGTAGTCCCACATCGGCATGACCCAAGAACTAAGTTCTAAACATACTATTGTAGGCTTCAGTCATTAGTTTAATTAAGTTTTTGAATTGATGGATATACATTTATTATTACAATAGGTTCAACTTAATCCCCCTTTCAACAAGTGATATTAAAGTTGATGGTATGACTAAGGGACTTCTAATAAGTAATATCAAACCTCATATCAAGACTAAGGGCCTTCTTACAAGTGATATCAAAACTGACGGTATAACTGAAATCAAAATTTTCATGTATTGTCTCATGTATTTTGAGTCTCCCGTAAATCCTCGTAGTAATTAAGAAAGATTTAAAAGCACTAAGGCCGTAAACGAGCCGAGCTTGAGCGAGCTCAGCCTTGGCTTGTGTTCGGCTCGTTCGAAACTGCTCGTGCTCGAAATCGGTTCGTGTTCAAAATTGGCTCGTTTTCGGCTCGAAATTGGCTCGTTAAAATTAAGTTGAAAAAAATTAGATCTAAAGTGTTGGATTCGAAAATGAACCAAATGTATGCAAAAGAAGTCAGTAACCAAGTTACCACATGAGTTGTTATGATTTAAACTTAGATATAAATATATATAATATAATATTATATAAATAATATACGTAATATATTATTATATAAATAATTATTTTTTTTTTTTTCGAGCTAAAACGAGCCGAACAAAAGCAAACAAAGAGCTATTAGTTTTCGGCTCGTTTATAATTCGAGCTTTAAAACTTATTGGTGTTCGGCTCGTTTACTTAACGAACGAGCTGAACACGAGTTGTTCGCAAACAACGAGCTTTTTTGATAGCCCTAAAGAGCACATGGCTCCCATGCAATTTGGACATTATTGAGTGAGATCCAAGTGCAGTGACACTAAAAGAAATTGGCTTCCATTTGTGGAGGAAGGCAGCCAGTGTAGAGAACTCCCAATTCTCATGGGAGCGTTGGCATCAACAAAAGAGTGGAGAATTATCCACACCAAATATAAAACAATAGTTGAATTTTTTACGTAATTCTCGCGACCTAAAAGCCACTTAAGCCACCATTTAACAGATGATATCAAAGCTAATGATATGGCTAAAATCAAGTGTTTCATGTGGTTTCTAGCTTTCATAAGACTTGGAGGTTACTACTATAGCCGAGAAAGATTTAAGAGCAGATAACTCCCATGCAAGCTCATGTAATTAAGTGAGCTATAGAAAAATAAATGGTGATGATTTCAAATTGAAGGGGAGGGTGGCCAAAGTAGAAAATCTCACTTTCTCAAGTGAGGGGAAATTGTTGACATACGCACAAGAGCGGAGAATAATTCTTTACAAATATAAGAGTTGAAATAGTACTGGTAACCCCTTAAGACACTTGAGCTCCTTTCTAACAAATGATATCAAAGCCAATGGTATGACAAATCAAGTATTTCATGCGGTTTGTAGCAAGTGTTGGTGGCCATAACTGAGAAAGATGTAAAGGTAGATGGCTCACATGCAAGCTCCATGCGATTAGGTGAGCTCTAAGTGTATTGATATCTAATGGTGTTGACTTTCATTTGAGGGTGAGAATAGCTAATGTGGAAAATCTCAAATGAGGGAGATAATGTTGACATTAACATAATAATGGAGACCATTCAAAACCATATATAAATAAAATTGAGTTTTTTAAATATAGTTTGAGCGATCATTACCCAAAAAGGCAAGCATGTAGGTTAATGGATCTCAATCAATTAGTGTATTGAGCATTTAAGCTTAACTTAGGACCTCAATCTTCATACCTCTTGACAACTAGGTGCATTATAGTGGAGCATTAACACATACACGAGTGAAAAACTACTATCTTTGGATGCAAAAAATTGTAGCTTCGCAGGATTTGAAGCATTGCCTGCTAAATACCACCGATACATTATCACTCCAAGGATGAATAACATCACTTCATTTCTTCATCATGTTCATCAAGTTCCATAATAACTTCAAGAAAGTACCAAGAAATGATGGTCCAATCAAAATTAATCGAGGTAGGCAATTAAAAGTGTTTCCATACATGCTAATAGAACTCCATGGATTCCTCTCTTGTGATAGTCATTATGCAAGGAATTGATTAGCATCTTGTGTAAACATTCAATGATAGTGAAGTGATAATTAAATCCTAATCAATTCTCTAGATATCTTCTAAGGAGTCTATTGAGATCAAAGCCCCACTTTAGTTTGATGGCTTCAAAATGATGTCATGTCATGAAATGTTGCACGTCAAAGTGTAGTTTTGACCAATAAACATAGTAAAACCTATTTGAAGAGTTTTATACACTCCATAGTGCCCTACTACCGTTGATATATATGCCTCCCATATGAAGGCAAATGATCAGCCTATTCTATACATATAAGTTGTAAATTTTCCTTTGCCAAGATTCACCAAGGCCTACTGAAAATTTTGGCAATGTTATGCATAACATGGTGTACTCCTAATGCATCAATAAACCTGCATGGTTACAAGCAAACCCGAAATTCGTTGTAAACAATCAGAAAAATATGTCTAGCAATTAATTTTGTTCCCTCCCTTATATTTGATCACCAGAGTGTTTAACTATAACAGGTACACGATTCCTGGATGTTAGCTACCTAGTTCAAATCCATTCAAAGTTTGGCTCCACCCATGATGAAATATAGATAAACAAGTTTAATGCTATCAAATTCATAAGAATTTAGAATAACAATGAGTTTGACATCTTGAAAAAACCTTACAACCTATGTCTGCTGCTGTAAAAGCTTCTCCAAGCCTTTGTTATACACTAGAATCTCCTCAAAGTAAATAATGACTAATTGATCTTGTTAAGGACATAGTACCTCGTTCATCAACCACAAAATTATTGTCGGTGTCTTGCACAATCTAAACATCATCACTTATCATTTGTACAAGCCATGCCTTGTCATGCATTTGCCTTCTAATTACACTTCTCTGACTTGTTAGATCTTTCGATGGCCGAATTTGAGATTCAACTAAACGGCAGTTTGGCACGGCTTTTTTGTCGCGGCGTAGTGGGAAAATGTTGACGACGTTGTTTGGTTGTTGCGGTGAGCTTGCGTTTTGGGAAAATCCAACTTAAACTCGAGTCATGGGTTCAACCCTATGGCCCGCATTTCATTTCAATCCTTCAACTAGCGTAGGCCAGTAAAAGGATTGCTCTCCCCTCTCTCGCATTTCTTTCCTAAAGGTAACATCGCCTCTCTCGCTCCTCTCCGATCCGTGGCTTCGATGACTAGGATTTGACTTTCTTGTCCTCTCCCTCACCCCTTCATTCTTCAGCTCCGTTTGGTTCCTTTTCTCTCCATCGCCCCACGGTATTCTCTACGATTATCCGTTCGAGCATTTTGATTTTGCGATTATTTTGGGATCTTTGTGCTCCATTTGATTTATGGTTTGGTTTCTTTGTGCTTCATTCAATTGATAGTTTTCGGGTGATTGTGTTGTGATGTTGGCTTTTGTGATTTCCTTGGGTTCTCTGTGCTCTATTCGGTTGATGAATTTGGGTTCTTTGTGCTCTATTCAGTTGATGGATTGCGGTGGTTGTACTGCGATGTTGGATTTTATGATTTTCTCGGGTTCTCCGTGCTCTATTCGGTTGATGAATTTGGATTGTTGTGTTGTGATGTTGGTTGTTGCTCGAAATATGATGGTGGTAGTGATTGCATGTGAAAATTAGTGAAATATTTCGGGATTTGTAGTTGTGTTGTAATGTTTTGGTTGGTGGTGGTTGTGATTTTGTGGTGGTTTCCCAAAAAGTTGGATTTTGTGATTATAGTAGTATGTTGTAATGGTGGTGGTGTTTGCCCAAAATATGGTGGTTATGTTGTGATGTTGGTGGTTGGCCAAAATAGTGAGATTGTTATGGTAGTTGGTGGTTGCCTAAAATTTTGCAGTAGTTGTTGGTGGTGGTTCTGATGTTTTGGTGGGTTGTCATCATGCTGTGGTAGTGGTATTACTGTGGTGCGGTGTGGAGGCGGTGGTGCGGTGTGGAGGGGATGGTGCGGTAGTAATGGGTTCTTCATAGTGGTAGTGGTGTAAGTAATGATAGTGGTGGTGGTAATGCTATGGTGATAATAGTATTGATGAAGAGGCTGTGTTATAGTGGTGATAGTGTTGGGGTTGAGATAGTGGTGATGATATGTTGATAGATATGTGATATGTTGGTGGTAGATGCTTAATGTGCAATGGTGATGATATGGTGTGGTGTTGCAGATATTTTTTTTTTCTTCTTTTTTTATCTCCTAGAAATTTATGTTGTTTAGTTCTTTGCATGCTGATACACCCCGACACAAAAATCAGCAAACAAACCACGACGAAATGACAATAAATAGGTGGAAGAAACACAAACCCTACAAAGTCAACGGAAAACAAACAAGATACAATGTTAATCAACTATTCAAGAGGTAAATCGCCCCTCCCACACCCTAGATGTAGCTAGAAATATCACAAGAAGAAAAAAAACAGAAGCCACAACAAAATATGCATTAAAAAAACAAACCCTAGGTTATCCTCCTTAATAGAATCTCCTCCCAACATTTCAAATACTTTTCTTCCCAACTTTCCTCCAAACTCCTCTATTTTCTCCTCCTTAAAATACATGATTATGGACCTAATGGACCCCACCTCTCCTGATTCACTTATGCAGCCCGCCTTGCCTGCTCCGCTTCTTCTGCGGCCCGCCCTGCTCGCTCCGCTTCTTCACGCTGCTTAGACTCGCCCGACTGTGGACCAGTTGTGTTGTTTATGGCCGGTCTAGGGTGGATCAACACTATTCTGGGCGTAACAATATTCCCCTCCTAAAAAGTTACCTTGCCTCGAAGTGGAAGGATGAAAAATGCTTGTGGATTATTTCGTAAGGCTCCCATGTTGTTTCATAGTTTGATAGACTTTTCCACTTAACCAATACCTCCTTTGCTCCCCCTACCCCTCGGCGCACTCCTTCGATCCCTAATGGCTCCAGAATCACCTCCAATTCCTCCATCAGCGTCGATGGTAGTGTAGACCAAGGTGTGTAATCTCCAATCGCACATCTCAGCTATGACACATGAAAGACCGGGTGTGATGCGGACCATGGTGGTAATCTCAGATGATAAGTCGTTGCACTATGCGTGTCATCACCTCATATGATACAAAGTATCACGGTGAAAGTTTTTTGCCCCTCTTTCAGGCTAATGTCTTCTATCGGTAGGGTCTCAACTTCAAATAGACAATGTCCCTTTGTTCAAACTGCACCTCTCTCTCGTACTCATCTGCTTTCCTCTTCATGATTTGTTAAGCTCTCAGAAAATACCCTTTGAGCTCTACTAGTATCATGTCCCTCTTTTTCAAATACTGATCGCTGTTAGAAACCGGTGTAATAATATGTCCGTAATGTATCAAGTGAGGTGGATCCCGCTCATACAATATCTTGAAAAGGGTCATCTGTGCTGAGGTGTGGTATGAAGTATTGTACCAATATTAGTCCTATGCAATCCACTTAGCTCATAGCTTCAGTGTATCGGATACAAAACAACGCAGGTATATCTCCAAGCTCCTGCTAACCACCACCATATGCCCATTTGCCTGGGGATGATATACAATACTTCTTTTAAGTTCCTTCCATAAGTGACTGAGGAACACTTTGTCCCTATCTGATACAATCGATTCTGGCACCTCATGCAAAAAGGGGCCACTTCCTGGATAAACACTGTCGTGACTGAGATCGCCATGTAAGAATGTCGTAAGGGAAAAAAATTTGAATACTTATTTAGGCAATCCACAACCACCATGATCACCGTGAATTCTTCTGACGGTGGCAACCGCTCGATAAAATCCATCATCACTTCCTCTTAAACCTTCCTAGATAATGTTAATGGTTGTAGTAACCCTCCTAATGTCGTGGTCAAGTACTTGTGTCGCTGGAAAACATTATATTTTGCTACTATGTCATCCACGTCTCAACGCATCCTCACCCAATAAAGCTCTGCCACAGACAGTTGTTGATCTTTTGCAACATTGAGTGTCCCCCCATCGCACTGCCATGAAACTTTTGTAATAATTTACGAATATACTTCGACGATTTGGGTAGCACGAATAGCCCCTGGTGGAGCAGTTGTTGTCTCCTCAATGTATATCCTGGATGACTGTTTGGATCTCATAGTAACTCGACTCTTATCTTCCCAAGCTCCTCCTCTCTTTAGCTTTCCTGTCTCAAAGCTTCACAATCTATGAACAATAGTACTAATAGGACCGTCAATTAGGGCGCCCCCACCTTTCTCGATAGTGCGTCAGCTGCCTTGTTCTCCAATTCTGACAGGTATTGAATTTAGAATCATACCACAATAGCTTGGATAGCCATCTCTGATGCTCCTCTGTCACCATTCGCTGCTTCAAAAGAAAATCAGAACTTGTAATGCCCTTCATGTGCCCTGAATGTTGTTTTGTGCATATCCGCTAGATTCATCCAGATCTAGTGATACCCCAATTTATGATCAATTTTTGAAAAAAAAAAGTGCCCAATAAAGCTCATCCAGCACCTCATCAATCACATAAATAGAAAACTTGTTCAATACCTTTAAGCCCCTCTAATCTGTCATGATAAAAAAATGTCGTTCCAACAGACAGGGTCACTACTTCTTAATGATCAAGACAATTTTCACAATGACTTTAACCTCGCTCTGGTAAGTAAGAACATGGCTGAAGTAGAAAATCGGCCGCTGATCCTGCATGAGCACTGCTCCCAATCCGTACCCTGACGCATCCATCTCCAACACAAATAATTTACTGAAATTTGGAAGAGTTAATACAGGTATGCTAGTCATGACCCTCTTCAGATGTTCAAATGTCTATGTTGCTGCTTCCCCCTATTTAAAACTATCTTCCTTCAATTGCTCCGTCAACCATCATGCTATTGTGTCATATCCTCTCACGAGTTGCTGGTAGTAGCCGGTGAGACCCAAGAATCCTCTCAACTCCTTCAAACTCCTTGATTAGGGTCAATCAACCATAGCCTCAACCTTGAACTGATCAACAACTAACCCCGTTCTGATCACCAAATATCCTAGGTAATCCATCTGTAACTGTGCAAAAGAGCACTTCTTCAAGTTGGCATACAACTGGTGTTCCCTCAACGTCTTCAGGACTATCCTTAGGTGGGCCCATGCTCTGTCTCTGTGCGACTATTAATCAGAATGTCGTCAAAGAAAATCATGACAAATTTTCGGATTCATGAAGGATTGAATTGTTGTCGGAGCGTTGGTGAGGCCAAATGGCATAAATAAAAACTCATAGTGTCCTTCATGTGTCTTGAATGATGTCTTATGCACATCCGTTGGATTCATCTGGATCTGGTGGTACACTGATTTAAGATCATTTTTTGGAAAAATGAGTGCCCCATAAAGTTATGTGTGGCTTCGCTATCCACCAACACCACAATTGGTTGTTCCTCGATCCATACCCTCACCTTCATGGTGTGATTCAGGGAAAATCCCACAACCGAATTGAGGGACACTTCCGCTGCATCCAAATGCAGATGCTCCTCCTCTACCATTTCCTCTTCTAATTCTTCACTCTCTGTATCCTCCTCATAAACTAGAAGAATTTAAAGGGCACACTCCTTGCAACGGTGTCTTGGGGCGTATTTCTCGTCGTAACAATAACACAATCATTTTGCTCTTCTATCATGCACATCTGCATCTGTGAGGCACTTGAAACTACCCCCAAGACGGACTCCTGTACTCTTCTCCTTCAGCGTCTCTTTTTGAAATGCACAATCCGGGTCTTCGGTGTCGTGGTTGTCATTGTGCTCTTGTAAAGTCCTCCGATGTTGTCGTCTTCGTTGGTCTTCTTCACCTGTTTTTTATCCTTCATCATCTGGGTGAGCTTTATCATTCCCTCAATCCTCGCGGTCTCAAGAGGTGGATGACTGCTGGTATGTCGGGCTCTAGGGCTTTCAAGAAGTTCTCTTCCAGTCCTGTTGCAGAAATCCCCTACAACCTCCTTGACAAAAGCTTGAACTTTTCTCGGTATTCCATAACCATCCCCTCCTAAGTCAGAGCATAGAATTGCTCGTGCAGGACTCATTGTCAAAAGGCTCGGGATGCTCCAATAAGCAATCCGTAAGCTCCTCTCATGAGTGTATTTGATAACTTGCCTCCATTCACTGAAACCACGCTAAAGTGTTCCCCTCCAAGCATAATCCCGCAGTCATGAGCTTATATTCTTTAGTCAATATGTTGATTGCAAAGTATTGCTCTACCTAATACACCCATCCATGTGCATCCTTTCTTTCGAAGATTGGCATCTTCAGTTTCCTGACCCTTACATCTCTACCCCAACCTCATCTTCCTTTAGTATTTCCCCCCATGTGTCTAGGGTGGAACTCCCTCCTTCAGTCATAAACGTGTCCAATTCATGAATCCCTCCTTCTCAATCGTGCACTATTGTGCCCCTTACACCATCCCTTCAATTTTTGGCCCATCGCCCACCATCGGAAATCCCCGCTTCCCCTCCTCTCGAAGTCTTAGAGAAACGCTTTTGTAGGTAGATGAGGTCTTCTTTGTTGTTTGCTTGCTCAATCTCCTACACTTTTGAACCGATCAAGGATTCCCAGATCAACCATTAGGATTTGCAACCGGAGCGATCAACACGACCGCAGCTTACATCTCCATGACTTTTTCATCATCTACCACATTTCTCCCATCTGTCAAACTCATCCTCCATCCGACTTTCAATGGAAGAAAATTTTTCCTCCATGGTGGCGAACCTTGTCTTCATTCCCGATCTGATTTGTTGTACCTCTCCTTCTAACACATCCACTTTATTTATTACAATCCCACCGAGATTTATGCTTTGATACAAATTTGATACGTATCGACACCAAAATCAGAGAACAAACTACGACGAAATGGCAATTGATGCGTGCTAGAAAATTCGCGGCAGTAGAGT